TCTGGTCAACCCCGGCCTCTCTAGGTCATCTTTATTTTGTGCCCTCCTGCAATGACTGATACCATGCAGTCCACCGCCTAAACATCCTGCGGTAGGAATTCCCATTTACCCTCATGGAAGGACCACGTCCCTTGCACATAACAGCCAGAATTCCACCGAATTCCTATCCACAGATGAAGTGGGCATGGCCTTATCGAAGCCATCTGCACCCCAGCTCCCAGAGCTGAAGAAGCAAGGGCTCCCAATGCAGATGAGGTCCACAGGGGGCTGGAGCCATTCGTGGCCAGGGAAAGAAGATTCTCAAAGTTTCAGCCTCTCGAAAGAAAATGACGGTGTCAATTTCCTGCTGCGATCCTCACTGCATCACAGTGTGACAATGACAATGATTAGGAAACAGGCAGTGAAATCTTAGCTGCAGCATGGCCGCCGCCCTGTCTCACGGTTACCAGGCAAACCTGGGACTGACACACATGGCCACCTGCTCACAGCCCATCCCCTCCTGTCCGCCGTGCCAGGGCAACCCCTGCGCTGTCCTCCCCATCTGGAGTCTGCCGGTCCCTGGGGAGCTCTTCCACGGCAGGTTCACCTGCCTGATGTAAGCCTGGCTTTCGCCTGGAAGGAGGACTCAGAACAGACGCCAGGACTGACAAGCCTGTTTCCATGGCAACCAGCGGTTCCTCTGAAGCCTGCAGGAAATTAGGGCTTTTTGTGAAATTCCTTCCTGTTTGCTCACGCCTGGCCCAGCTGCACAACACTTAGAAACCAAAGGGCAGAGCCGCAGGTAGCTTTGAGTGACTCACATGTGAGTCAGAAGACAGGCCCTCCCCCCTCCTCTGACCAGCCCTGGAAGCTGGGGCCCTGGGTGTCCCTTAGCACCTCCCGCAGGTGGTCCCAGTGCCTGGTCCCAAACACAACCAGCAGAGTCCAAGGAGAGGCGCTGCCTACCCCAAGACTTGGGCCATCCTCTATTGCGTTCCCAAGCTATACCAGAAAGCTGGATTGGAAGTGGAGCAGCCGGGTCTCGAACTGGCGCCCATATGGGATGCTGACACTGCAGGCCAGGGCATTAACGCTTTTCAAAACCTAGCTGAGGAAAGTTCACTTCAGAAGGCCGTACACGTCCACATCATGATCACCACAGAACCAATGTCCACACAGATGACTTGTTCCCTCCAACGTGCGACCGGCAGGCACCGTCGTGGGACCCCACCTTGCCCGTGCCATGCGTGGATTGGCTGCAGGTTCCTTCATTAGGAGTCATCTGCCCGGAGGTGCGTCCGCTCCTTCCAGGAGACCTAACGGAGCTGTGAAAATGCACTTGGACTGGCTGGCTGCACTTCCACTCCACCACCTTGCAGAGGTGGCTTGGACGGAGGGCTGGAACGTGCGCACCACCTAGTGGCGACTCTGTGGAACTGGGGCCGTGGGTCCTTGGTTAGGAGAAGGGAGCGTTAAAGAATTTCAGATTTTCTTCTACACTGTGAGAGGTGGGGTACGTCATTTTGACTTTGCTCACAGCTGGAGGATGAACATAACAGGGGGATATGCAACCCCTGTCTTAGCTCTCAAATCCAATGCACTCTATAAAGACTGAGAAGTCGTCACCCCCGCCAGCCATCAACAACCCAAGGGAGAGCCATGCCTGTGCCTGTTCCCAAGAGTTTCCCACAGGGTGGCTCTGACGCTCCCTGGAGAGCCCAGCGGGGTACCCTCCAGAAGGGAAGCTCTGCGCCTGTACCAAAGGGGCGCCCACCTGCTCACCCTCCTCCAAGTAACTCCACCCAGTGCTTGGAGGCAGCACTGTGCGCAGCCGAGCTTGTTCCCACATGGATCTCCGGACGGCCCTGATTGCTGGCCCTTCATCCAGTCTATGGCTCTGTCCTGACCCTCACATTTCTCCAGCACAGTCCTCTTAGAAACTGAACCATGTGTGCTCAGGAGCCATGGGGAAATTAGGGGCTCTGGTGCTACGTGAGCTTCTTCCTGCCCCCTCTGGGCCCCTTCTCTCCTCCTCCGCTGCAGTGTGCCTGATGGAGCGTCCTCATGCCAGGTAGAGAGACCAAAAGCTCCATCCATCACGTGGATGTTCCCAGCTCTCTGCCATCCATCAGGTCTTGCAACAGGATCACCTGCCTGCCCCAAGTGTCCCAGCCTCCCAGGGCATCAGGCTCCGGCTGCTGTGTCTCTGATGGCTCATCTTGTCCAGCCTCATCCAAGGTTGCCCGTTATTTCTCCGGCTGTGTTCCCAGTAACTTCTGCCCTTGGTTCGAGGGTCTTTGGTCAACGGGGCCCCTTCTCCTGTTGTTCTTGGCTGTGATTGTTGAAGTGAATCAAGGGTTGAAGCTGTTTTCATACCAGGGCTCACTTCTAGAATGGAAGATAACTTTCTCCCGAGGTGAGAGAATTCCCAGAGGCTCTGTGCAGGCCCTGTGTGCCCGTCTGAGAGGAGATCACACAGAACTAAAGCTGCTTTCACACGACACCGTATTAGCGGCCTTCGCTGATACAGGAAAATCACATTGGCCTGGCCTAATAAACTCTTCCCCAGGAGCTGGTATCCTCTTAAGTGGCCGTGAATTGATTGTTCCAGCCCACTGCTAAAGCTCCTACTGAATTAACTTCAATTAATAGAAAATGCCTCCCATCTTAAAATCATGTAGTCTGTTCCCTGATTTCTTGAGAGAAAAAAAAATCTTCTTGAAAAACTAGTGATTATGCAAAACAGCTGTGAATGCCTTCCGGGAAAAGGACTCCATCCCAGCCAGCCCGGAGCAGGGGAGTGCTTCCTTTGGTTCTTTCATTCTCTGCTCGACCTAGTTTTTGGCGTTGTTATCCAAATGACGGCTTGTCAAAGCTGATCACAGGGATGAGTCTAAGGAAAAAGGGGAAGCCAGGATCCATTTCCCGTGATGCACCAGGACAGATAACCATGGCTCCTCACTCTTCCTTGCCTTTGGACTTGCAAGGTAGCTGGAGAGAGGCTCCTGGAGCCATGGGAGCTGTGCCCTGGTGGTGGCTGCATTGGCCATCCCCGTCACGACACCTGAGACGCACACAGTGTCCTGTGTGTCTCCAGAGAGAAAGCCACCCAGCCAGGCTGGGGCACAAAGGAAAAAGCTCCTTCCAGGAATAAAGGGTCACTGTGCTCTCCTGGGTTCAACAGCATGTCACCTGGCGCATCGTTGTGTCCCGGGAAACATAGCCAAGCAGGGGTGGGCGTTGCCCTAGCAGTTAAGACCCCCACGACCCACACTGGAGCACCTGGGTTCAAGTCCTGGCTCTGACTCCTGACCCCAGCTCCTGCTGATACCAACCCTGGAGGGGCAGCAGTGATGGCGCAAGCAACTGGGCTCCTGCTTCCCACATTGGAAACCTAGATTGAGTCCTTGGCTCCTAGCTCCCCAGTCCCAGGCTTTGCATATGTTTGGAGGATGAATCAGGGGGTAGGAGAGCTCTCATTCTCACTCTCTGTCTCTAAATTATTTTTTAACATTTTTTTAAATGAAATTAAGAACTGGGGCTCCATGTGGGATCCAATTCCACAACAAACTAAGCAACCCCCAGAAAGTTCCTTATGTTCTCTGTGAGCCAGTTTCCCCATGTGCATCGAAATATGCATTCCCCATATGCATCAGTCCCTTTCCCATAAGGTACTCTGCAGATGACGGCTTAAGTAAACCATGTATTCTCCTTGTATTCTCTCGGTCCTAACTGATCAGGAGAGAACGCTCACCAGGGCACGTGCGTGCCTTTTGCTGCTTCCCGGCCTCACTATCCCCTTCCTTGATAAGAAGCCAGGCCTGTGGCCCAGGGTGTGGGCAGCCGACCTGGTCCAGCCAGGATCTGCCTTTACTTTTCCAGGCCAATCTCCTTGTGCAATGGGCCGCTGAAACTCCACTTCTGGTTGCCATGTGAGTTTTCCTTTGAACAAAATTCTTTTAAGGGAGCATACAAATAAGTCAGCTCTAAGAAGATAATTCACTTCCCAGAAGTCTCTGTTCTTGTATAACAGCTGTGAGGGCAGGGACCGGCGCTGTGGCATTGGGGATAAAGCCATCACCTGCGGTGCCAGCATCTCTTATGGGCACCGGTTCAAGTCCCAGTTGCTCCACTTCCAATCCAGCTCCCTGCTAATGGCCTGGGAAAAACAGTAGAAGATAGTCCAGGTGTTTGGGCCCCCTGCACTCACATGGGAGAGCCAGATGAAGCTCTTGGCTCCTGACTTCAACCTTGCCCATCCCTGGCTGTTGTAGCCATCTGGAGAGTGCACCAGCAGTTGGAAGATCTCTCTCTCTCTCTCTCTCTATATATATATATATATATATATGTATATATGTATATATATACATATATATATGCATTTCTGATTCTTGCATGTATATATATACATATATATACATGCAAGAATATATATATACATATATATACATATATATATACATGCAAGAATCAGAAATGCATATATATAGAGTATATATACTCTATATATGTGTGTATATATATTTCTGATTTTCAAATGAATGAATGAATCTTTAAAAAAAAAAAAAAACTGTGGGGTGTTTGTTGCACACTGCCTGGAGATGTGCAGAAATCCCACAGGTGGCAACAGGTCTCCTGTGTAGAAGCATCCACTGAGCACATACATCCCCTTCTAGAACTTTCCAGGAATGAGCTGGCAAAAAGAAGTCTAGAGGCTACCCAGCTTCAGGCTCTGCAGTGACCCTGCCTTTGCAAAGCAGGGTGGTCACTCTCCCTGTCGCTCTGTGGATGCTGGTCCCCTGCACACGTGCCCACTCCTACCTGCCAATGACACCTCCCGTGTCTACCCACACTGGCCGAGGGTTCAACAGGTGCAGAGGAAGTCTCCCCACCGGCACCTCCGGCTCCAGGCCAGCCCAGTCTCGTGCCAGCCACAAGAATGAACAGTGTGCAGGCTTAAAGCATGGGGGTGCATGTGTGGGTCTAACGTTTTCTTTTGTTTTTTTTTTTCTTTTTCACAGTTCATTTACGATGAAAAAGTCTCCTGGTGAGTACCTTGTTTTTCCCTACATTCCCGTTCTCATGTTGAATTGAACCTTCTAGATGGCAGTTGGGAGTGAAGGTCTAGGAAAGGGGGCAGTGTGGTGGGAGTATGGAGTGGCTAGCATTTTTTTGGCAACCTCTGTTCACTTCAGCCAAGAAGTTCAGTTAGCTTCTGTGGAGTGGGGCCCCTTTCTCTGGGCTGCAGAGGTGACGGATGGAGGCTGCATTTCTGATTCTTGCATTTTTGGAGGTCTTTATTGTCCAGGTTATCAGTTGGGACTCAGCCATGCCTTTCCCCATTCAGGCCAGTGTTAAGATTTGATGCATCTTTGCAAATTTCATCTAAATTCCAAATATTGTGTATGTATTAGGACTCGGGATCCAAGCACTTGGATGACATTTAACCCATTGAACGTGGGCCTGACAGTCAAATAAAGTTTACAGCTCTGAAACATCTGTGATTTTTTTTTTGACCAACAGGATTTTGCTCCAATTAAATATATAGAAATACATTTGCACTTAGGCCAATTGTCCACACCCTCTTTTTTAAGATAGGTGCTACACAAGTCAAATTTTTGGAATGGAGCTAGATATGGAGGGTGTTGTTTATTCTTGTTATATTTCTGCAAATATATTTGATATGGAGAAGTACAGTGTAATAGCATCTTAGGAATAGGTGTAGGTCTGTGGGTCCAGAGTTTCCATGGCATTCCTTAAAGCTAGGAATGAGCTAGAAAAGGAAGTAGAAAGTCCACCCACCTCCATTGGCAGCCAGATGTGAATCCTTGGTTCCAGCCCTGGATGGGGGAGGGGCATCCCTATGATTTCTGAACTTTGGGGGTGTTGGGGAACCTGTTTTATCGATGATGAATTTTGCACATGGCTCTAGGATGCTTTTGCCAAGTCTGCCTCTGTGTGTGCAAGAGAGGAGGGAAGGCTGGGAGATGGTCCGTCAGGATGGCTATCTCAGGGCAGGCATTTAACCCAGGGTGAAGACATCCGTGAAGATGCTGCACCCTATTAGAGGACCTGGGTTTGATACCCGACTCCAGTTTCCTCCTAATGCAGACCCTGGAAGGCAGCAGGGATGGCTCAAGTAACAGCTCCTGCCACCCACGTGGGAGACCTGGGTTGAGTTCCCAGGTCCTGCCTTTGGCCTTGGCCCAGTCCTGGCTGTTGCAGGCATTTGGGGAATAGGATAGTGAACCAGCAGGTATGGGCTCGCTCTCTCTCTCTCTCTCTCTCTCTCTCTCTCAGGGCAGCCTGTGAGATTGCTCTAGAGGTGATCCCCAAACAGAGTACAGTTCTTCCACCCCCATGTCCTTGGGGATGAAGCAAACACAAGAAAACTTCCAGAAGCAACTTCCGGCCAACTGATGGCCTCGTTTGCAAGGTTACTGCCCTGGCTTAGCAAATAGTAGGTGCTGAACTATGGCTCAGCGTTGCCTGCTCTTTGCCAATGGTGCTGCCCTGGAGACTAGGGCAGTAGGATCACATGATGGCAGAAGTCGCTCTGCTGCACTTTGCAGGAGAATGTTCCGGAAGGCTCTGCTCTGCTGGGAGTGTTAGGGGAAGTGCTCTCTTCCCATCTCCATGGTGTTGCTGCATGGGAACCCCAGCAGGAGGAGAGAAAGCAAGTGTCACATGAGTTGGTCCCAGGACATGCCCTCCTCCAAAGATCTTTTTGAATATTCCACAAGGGGAAAGTCTACCTCCTCTGCCCCCCACGGGCTTTTTCCTGTAATGTTGGGTGACCCAACCCCCCGACCTTGGTAGCACCCTGGCCTGCAGCTGAGGGGTCCAGACTCTGTAAGGGAACGGTTATCAGAGCCCTTGGCTTGACAACCAGGGCTCCCACTGGTAAAGTTAGGAGGAAGGGACCAGAGGGGCATCAGTGAGTTGCAAGTCCCGGATGTGTCTCGCTCTAGCCTGGGGGATGTTGGGGTCCTGGTGAGCTGTAGCCCCCAGGGGAGAGTGGGCTGGGGGCTTTTGTGCCACCAGAACATTGCTGCCAGATTGTGCTGTGGTGGTACAATTGTTATTATACAGAGAAGCTGATGGAGAGTTGTTCTCAGATGAGGGAGGCTGAGGAATTCAGTGTGTGCCACTGGCCTTTAACTGCTTTGAGACTTCTAGAGATTTCAGCTTCTCATCAGTGAATGCAAAATGTGCTAACTTTTCACACATGTTTGGTCATTCACTTACACTTTTTCACCAAGCCAACCACAGTATTTATTTTGCTGCAAAGGTTTGTCCAGGGGCTGATTGCTCTGCTTAAAGTCAGGTTCCTCAATCTGTGCAGTGGAAGCATTCTAATCATAGCACAGCCAGTGAAGTCCATTCCTTGTTCTAGAATGTTCTAGCATGTTCTACCAACTTCAAGGCAAACAATCAACTCACCCTAACCCTCAAAATGAGACTTGTTTCAATTGTGTTTATTTTGGCAGTCAGATACTCTTTAGAAGAAAGAGTTTTGTCAAATACAAATACACAAGGACAAGATGTCCCTGTCCGGCCCCGTTAGGTTCCTTCACCATTGCTAATACAGTGTTCTAGAATGTCGCCTTCAACCAAGAAGTGGCCATCAGCAGTCAGCCAGCAATGCGTTTAGTAGCAGGTAATAGAAAATCTGGTTACAGTGGATTAAAGCAATAGGGGTTTGTTTGTCTCACATAGCAAATTCTCCAGGTGTGCACAATAGAATTGCTGGCTTCACCTCCCCATTTCAGCTTCATGGGAACGCAGAACCTGGGAGGCAATGGTGACAGCTCAAGTAATTGGGTTCCTGCATCTATGTGGCACACCTGGGTTGTATTTCCAGCTCCTGGCTCTGGCCCTGGCTCAACCCTGGCCATCGTGGCCTTTTGAAGGGGTGACCCAGTGAATAAGAGTTCTCTCTCTCTCTCTCCTTCTCTCCCCCCCCCTCTGTCTCTCTCCTCCCTCTCACATCCTCCCTTTTCCTTTCCAATAAAAAGAACTTTTACAAAGTCAGATGTATGAGATGGCAGCTGGAGGGAGGTGTGGCCTGCATGTGTAAATTGGGTGTCATGATTATGTGTATGGCATTTATAGCAGTAGATCAGGATGGGGTCACCAGACGAGAAACTCTAGGTACAAACACAAGAGGGTCCAATAATCAGAGATTGAACTGAGGAAGTGGAGGAGGCAGCAGAGATGGAGAAGGAGAAACCAGGGAGACCAGAAGAAATCCGGGAGCAAGGTCTCTTGGGAGCCGTGGGAGAGCACTTTTGTGGAGGAAGGAGGATGAGCATCTCTCTGATGCTGTAGAGAGATCCAACAGCGTGGCAGACCATGGTCCTTGGGTTTGTGGAGGTGGCAGTCACCTGTGTCCTTGACAGAGGTTTGAGGGGACAGATGAGTGTGGAAGTCAGACTGGTGACACTTATCCTGGGAACGGTGGGTACCCACACACAGTGGACGCTGTGCTTTGAGGAGTGTGGCTATGAGAGAAGCCCAGAGGCATGGGAGCAGTGGGAGGGATTTAGACACTTGGGCTGCTTCTCTCAATGCAGCATCCTGTGCACTCGCTGACATAGACACATACATATTTGCACGATCACTCTTCATGAAGGAGCCATGCTGGCCTGTTGAGGGGCATACTTAGAACCTGTGTACCTGGCCCCTCAATTTATAATGATCTGACTTCTCTCATGTCTGTGTTTTATAAACACCTCTGAAACAAAAACCCTTGTATATGCATTCTGAGCAAATATTTATCTAGGAGCAACTTCCAGACAAGGAATTTGCCAAGAGCAAAGGGGAGATGGGCAGCGCACGGACCCTGGAATTCCCTCCTGAGCCCATTCTCCACTAACTTACTCTGAGAGCCCAAATTGCTCCCTCAGTTGGCCCATCTCATTCTGCCACTGAAGGGGACCAGAAAGCCATGTTCCTGTTTTCTACCTGAAAAATAAGAAAATAGAAAAAGTATTCAAATTATAAGGAGCTCAAGGTGCATTCCAGCGCATCTCATTATTTATTTCCTCTGGGTCTCTTGGCCATTTTCCCACTCATTCATTCTTCCCTTCCCTGCAGGCACCTTCTCTGCCCAGGTGTGCTCGCTCTCTCTCCCATCTTTCTCTATCTCTGTCTCTTTGTCTCTGTGCCTCTCTCTGTCTCTTTGTGGCTTCCTTTCTGTCTCATCATCTCTCTGTCTCTTTCAGTGTCTCTCTGTATCTCACTTTGTATTTCTGTCTCTGTCTCTCTTGCTCTCTCTTTGTCTCTCCCCCCTCCACCCCTTATTCCCTGCTCCCGCATGTGTTACCATCCCTCAGTCACCTATCATTTCTTCTAGTCTCAGTTTGCCTTCCATCTGTGTATCCGAACAAGCTCAGAGAACAGTGAAACTATGGACAGGTTTATAAATACAGACCCACGTCTGGTGTGAAAGTCTTTTTGCTTTGCAACAGCTTTTGTAGGTGAGCAAATAGCAGAGAGGAAGAAGTATTTTCCCTTCTGGTGGGGAGGGAAGAAAGAAGATTGAAAACCACAGGCTTTGCTGAAAGCGTCTACAGACCCAGAAATACCCATAACCACTCTGCCTTGCCATCCTGGCCATTTGTGTCAAATGGGCTTTGTGGGGGTGCCTGGCTGCCTGCGACCACGTCCTCTAACTGCTCTTGGTTTGTGTGCAGGTGGGAGTCTTTAGTGCTTGTGCTGATGTATGTCATCTACATTGTCATCATGAAGTAAGTAAAGTCCTTCCTTCGTTTCCTTTCCAAGACGGTTTCTTACATTCAGTGTTAGGTGCCAATGTGCAAAGAGCAGCTGGGCAGGTGTGGGGTCTTCTGCTTGTTTGACACCTGCCCCCAACACCGCCACCCCCATCCCAGGCTCATTTAGCTCCTGGGCAACCTGCTGAGAGCCACTGCCATCGGGATTAATCACAAGGACCCTTCCAACCCACACATGATGATGGAATCGACACTCAGATGTTTCGTTTGAGAACTTTCTAGAACACTTGCTTCCTCTTCAGGATCCAGGAACCTAGCTTAATTAGTTGTGTCTTCGCTCTGTTTTTGGAAGGGGTGGTAAAACCCAGTAAGTTAGACTTCTACATGGAGCAAGGGACAGAGCCAGAAGGAAGATGACTCAAACCAGGTCTATAGACATCCTTTGCTCTGTTGCAGTTGTCATCCATTGCTGTGTAACAGATTAGCCCAAAACTTGGTGGCTTCAGTCCTCACTCCCAGGGGCAATGTCCCCAAAAGAGTCTAGCTCAGGGTCTCTCACAACATTGCAGCTCAGATGTTGGCCATGGTCACCAGCTGTCCTTGGAGCTGGTGGAGCCCCCCTGCTGGCAGTTGGCGGGAGGGCTCAGTTCTTCATCACCTGCTCCCTAGGAGTGCTTGAGTGACTTCCTCATATTCTAGTTCCTGGAGGCAAGTTACTGAGTCAGGCTGTGCTCCAGGGAGTGAATTCACCTGTTGAAAGGAGGAGTGCTACAGGATTCTGATCTTGTTCTAAAACCATCACAACATGCGTTCTTTTCCCCCCTGGCATCTGTTTACTTTTGATAGCAAGAGTTATATTGCTGCTTCCCCATCATCCAAGGTGAAGGGAGGCTCCACGGTTGTGAACATATTGGGTCAGCTTTGTGCCTAATATCACTGAGGTGAGGAGGTCCTAAGTGATAAAGAGAGATCCTGTGTTGTGGCTGTCTGCCCCCTTGAGGGCTGGATCTTTTATTCCTCCACCCCCTGTTTCCCCCAGCATTTGTAGCTGCAACAGTGACCTCCTTCTCCAGGGAACAAGAAAGTCCAGAGCTGTCAGAAATGTCCAGTTTGGACACATCAGGTAACGGTCTGAAATGGCCATATTGGACTTCTGACATTATGGGGAGGCCTAGCAGTTCATTTCGGCCTCCAGTGATGGAGAGACCTGCTGGAGACACCAGGATGAACGTTGGCAGATAGCAAATGGATAGCAGAGGCAGGAATCAGCTTGGCTAATGGCCTGGGTGGATTGTACACAATCTGCTGCCTCCTGCTCAATCTGCTCTCTGGCACTGGCTGGAGGAGCTGTCCAGTGGTCAGTAGCTGGGTCTTAGTACCAACTTTTGCATGCCCTGGTAGGAAAACCAGAGTCGAATCCATGGAACTAGACACCATCCACTTAAGAATATTGGTTAGATGAATTCCCGACAAAAACCAGAGAGGGCCTAAAGGCTTTCCCAAGGAGAAGGCTTTCAGTAAGAAGACAATCATTCTGCTCCTCCCTGTCCCAAGGTAGCAAAACTGTGTAAGGAATCAGTGCCCCTGGGGGTAGACCCTACACATACATTCCTGCCATCTTTTCTACCTGATTATTTTTATCTTAATTTTATTTGAAAGGCAGAGAGAGACAGAAACAGACCGAGATCTTCCATCCACTGAGTCACTCCTCATAAACGCACAAGGCTAGGCTAGGTGGAAGCTGGGAGACAGAAACTCAGTTGGGATCTCCCACATGGGTGGCAGAGACCCGGTTACTTGAGCCATCGCCTGCTGCCTCCCAAGAACACATTAGCAGGGAGCTGGAATCAGAGGCAGAGCTTGGGCACTCTGGTGGGATTATTTGACCTTTTATTTTTACTTTTCGTAGCCTCTTAAGTTTGAGTTCCCAAAGCTCAGAGTCTTCTTATTCCCCACTGGGAGGGTGGATGCAGAAGAATCGTCACTCAGTATCTGCTGTGTGCCCGACATTGACCTCGGGATGGCAGTCTAAATTTTGATGACAGTCTGTCTCACCATGAATCTACTAGGGGCTTTGTGGAATGAGGTGCTTTCAAACCCAGACTTGGGCTAACAGGAAGTGGGGTTGAAGAATTCCACTGGCCTGCACTCTATGGCCACTGCAGCCCTTCGTATGCCGTCGTAAAGTCCCTGAGTTGCTAGCAGGGCACACGGACGTTAAGAGAACGCTGGGAACATGTCCTCGCCTCCATCCCAAACCAAATACGGACGGGCAAGAGGTGTGTTTCTGCTGACGCGGCAGCTTTACCCACATCCCAGCTGTTGCAGCCAGCAGGAGACAAATAAAACGGGGCTCGGCAGCTACTGCGTTTGCAGAATTTTCTGCATAAATTCTGGGCCTAAGTTCTAAATTGCAATCGCTGCTCTTTAGCCACCCCCAACAGTAATCAGAGGCTTTAATCATTGGGTTTTATAAAATCTGATTTATAAAATTGCATGCTACACAATAAAATAGCTTCAGGGTGCAAGCATAAAATTTTAAACATTCAATTAAAAATATAAAACAGAGCAACCACAGCTTTAAAAAAAAAAAAAAACCAGGGTATTTTAGAATCATCAGCTGCCTCCTGGCCAGATAACTGTAAAATGACTTTAAACTTTCTGTCTGAAGATACAAAGGTGATTTTGGATTGGCCAGGTAGCTAGGAACCCCGCGGGACCGTGCTGGGTACTTGGCCTTGGCAGTAGCTGATTTCTGTACTTCCTGGGTCTCTGCTTCAGGGTTTTGTTCCATTGGAGACAGTATGGGCTGGCGGTTAGAACAAGTGTTTCCCATTCAGCCCAACAGAAGCTTCTAGCTGTCACTCACCAGCCACAGGACCTTGGCCAGGAGTATCCAGCCATTCTGAATCTGTTTCCTCTTATGCAAAATGAAATCAGGAATTGTTCCTAGCTCCTAGGCCTTTTAATGAGGATAAATTGTGGCAACTTGGGTTGTTCACCCAATATCTGATTTTAAAAAAGCCTTCCCTGTGGGGCTGATGCTGTGGCTTGGTGGGTAAAGCCACCGCCCACAGTGCCAGCTTCCCAAATGGGCGCCAGTTCGAGACCCAGCTGTTCCACTTTTGATCCAGCTCTCTGCTATGGCCTGGGAAAGCAGTAGAAGATGGCCCAAGTCCTTGGGCCCCTGCACCCACATGGGAAGACCCTGAGGAGGCTCCTGGCTTCAGATCAGTGCAGCTGTGGTCGTTGTGGCCAATTAGGGAGTGAACCAGTGGATGGAAGACCCCTCTCTCTCTCTCTCTCTTTGCCTCTCCTCTCTCTCTCTCTCTCTCTCTCTCTCTCTCTCTGTAACTCTTTCAAATAAATAAATAAATCTTTAAAAAAGAAAGAAAGAAAGCCCTCCCTGGAGCAGGCAGTTAAGATACCCAGGTCCCACACTGGAGTACCTGGATTCAATGCCCAGTGTGGCCCCCGACTCCAGCTTCCTCTACTACAGACCCCGGGAGGCAGCAGTGATGGCTCAGGTCATTGTGCTGCTGCCAACCACATGGGAGACCTGGATGGAGTTCCTAGCTTCCAGCCTCAGCCTGGCCCCAACCTAACGTTATGAGCATTTGAAGAGTGAGTCAGTGCATGGAAGATCTCTGTCTCCGTGTCTTTCTCCATCTCTTTGCCTCTCAAATAAATAAATTTTTTAATCTTATTTTCAAAATTTCTTTCGCTGTATGGTATTATTATCCTGCTATGCAACCCCCAGTAAATGCATGGTACACGGTTGTGCTTTAACAACTTGGACATAAGCAGTCACATCCTGTGTGTGATGCAGCCCATGCCTTTGGCCTCTGGGCTTTGGCTGTGTCAGTATCGAGCTGACTCAGCCATGCTGTGTCCCAGGTGTGATGAGCCCTGCAATAGGGAGCCCCACAGATGTCTGCCTTTTCCCTTGCTTGTGATGGTGGCACCTGTGGGTCCATGAGGGTTGCACAAAACGGGAGTCCACCCTGCCCACCTGCCTTGTCACAGCCAGCAACCCCATAACTTATGACCGGGTTTCTGTTCTGCCCCATGCAGTGTGGGCTCCCACAGACTGCACATGGAAGGACATCCCAGTAAGACCCAGTGGGACAGTCAAGCTCTCCCTTCAGGGTCCACATATCCAGGGCCTTTGCTGTTTATCCAGTTCAGCAGGCAAAGGAAGAAGTGTATGATGACGCTTTTGTTTTCACTTACTCTGTATCCTTCCATGAGGGTAAATGGGATGACAAAGGTACAGCAATCCTAGCGTGAGGCAGGGCGTCCCACACAGTGCGTCTACACTGACAGGGCTCCAGGGTGCGCTGTTGGGGCGGGGGCCGGGGCGGGGGCGGGGGCATTGGGAGGTGGAGGACTGGCCCCCGCTGACGGCCTCTTTGCACTTGCCGCTCCACTCAGGTACAACGCTTGCATACATCAGTGCTTCGAGAGGAGGACCAAAGGTGCTGAGAACATGGCCAACGGCCTGGCCAACAACGCCGAGATTGACGACAGCAGCAACTGTGACGCCACCGTGGTGCTACTTAAGAAAGGTAACCGCGCAGGTGCCTGAGTGCAGGCAGGAGACCCTGGAATGGGAGTAGACACGCGTAGGGCGTCTCCACTGCTCAAAAGCAGAGCAGAGTTTTCCTGTCCCTAGCCCTTGCTTTGGCTGCGGCATGGGGATGGATGGGCCGACTCACAGAGCCCCATGGAGCTCCTGAGGCCTCACCAAGCAACACACAGGGCAAGGACTCACGGAGAGGGGTTAGTGCTGTCCTATCTGGGCTGTGTGACCGTGGAGCAAGTTGACTTGATCTCTGTGAGCCTGTCTTCTCTTCTCAGACATGGGAATTGTTTTTGCAATAAGGAAAGCCAATAAAACACGTCAAACAGTTGGGTGCAGTGCTCTGTCATTGATGGGTGTTGTGGGCCTAACACTGTTTATCCAGATTTGCTTTGGGTTATGGGGCTCCCGAGCTGCAGTGGGAGACAGAAAATGTCCCTTTATTTCCCAGTAACCCTCCCGTTGTAGTTGACTCTCACAGAGGGCAAAGCTACATGGCTCTCTGACAAATAATAGTCTTTCTTAGAGGGACACAGAAAATCCTCATTTAATTTTGCCCCGACTATTTCATTGTTCATTTAATTTTTTTTAACGTTCCCTTTGACACGTGTGAATTTATTTCTTCCTGGTCCCCCAGGGTTTCTTCATGGGGAAAAAAATGAGAAAGTATATCAGTGAATTTTCAAATGTCTCTTGTCTGTGAAATCTCTGGGTAATTATTAGATTTTTGAAACCTCAATGTTTGATCTTTTTTCCCCCTCCATAAAGTATAGGTGTGCTTAAGGAGAGACTAAGGAGTTATTCTGTAGCATTCTACATGAGGGTTTCAGTCGGTGTCTTCTCTGCTGGGTGATTTGTAGCCATAAAAGGAATACACTTGGGAAACCAAAGAGAGCAACCTTGGATTGGTTTTACCAGAAGAGCCCCTTTCAGTGGCTTGGGAAACACGCAGGGGCCTGGGTGCTATGACCAGGCCCCCACAAGCTGTGCACCCCCGTGCTCAACCATGCAGAACAGGCTTGGGCCTTGGTAGAGCAGTTTTTTCCAGGCCTTTCAACAAACCACAATCTATCTCAAGACCCCTTCTGAACCTCAGGCCCCAGGAACACGGACAGCTCCCCACCCACCATCTGTCAGCACCGCTCATAGCCTGGGCTGAGGGAAGGCAAACACCAGGTCCCTGGCATGTCCTCCACGTGGCCCTAAAGTCAGCTCTGTGACATTGAGGAGCTCAGTGAGAATGTTGCTGACATTTGAGGGGCATCCAGGGTGCCAAGAAGTCATTGAGGTCTCTGCTGTAGCCCGTGACTAAGGAGTGTGACGAGAGTTCTCTGAGCACTGGGGAGGCATTGTTATGTCATCATTCCTTCCTACCATGGCAATGAGTGATGTTTAGATTGTTTCAAGGCATCTGCAAAGACCTAGTAGCATGACCCATGGGAAAGAGGCTTTGAGTCTTCTCCAGATTTTACTCATTGCAACCTTTCCTGGATGGGTGGATGGGTGGATGGATGGATGGGTGGATGGGTGGATGGATGGATGGATGGATGGGTGGATGGATGGATGGATGGATGAGTGCATGGGTGGATGGGTGGATGAGTGGATGGGTGGGTGGGTGGAGGGGTGGGTGGATGAGTGGAAGAAAAAGTGAAAAGAAAGAAGGAAGGAAGATGGATGGATGGATGGATGGGTAAATGGATAGGATTAATGAGGCAAAGGAGACTATGAAGGAGAAATGAAGAGACGGGAAAAGAAAAATGAACAAATGCCTCTTGTGTGCCCCCTGGCCTCAACATTATTCTCTTAACGTTTTTCATTTCCCTAGCCAATTTCCACCGCAAAGCATCAGTGATCATGGTGGACGAGCTGCTGTCAGCCTACCCACACCAGCTTTCTTTCTCCGAGGCCGGCCTGCGAATCATGATCACAAGCCACTTCCCTCCCAAGACCCGGCTCTCCATGGCCAGCCGCATGCTCATCAATGAGGTAGCTGGGCAGCTCAGACCATGCACACTGGACGGGCGTGGGGGCCTCTGGGAAAGACAGAGAGCAGGTCTGGGTTTGAAAGAAGCAGCCCCTGACTCAGAGTCTAACCCGATGCAACCCCTAAGCCGTTGCCCCACATCTTTGCTCCCTGGGCCAGCCATGTGTCCACATCCTATGTCTCCCTTCTGCACGTTGAGAGCCATCGTCTAGCTCCAGCTTGTGCAGAAAAACCCTCCTGAGCCCTTCCACCTGCTTGTTCTTCTAGTCTTGCATTTAAATACGGCCTCCTAAGGTGAATCTGCACAGACGTAGCTGCTCAGGTTCCTGGTTTAAAGTAATCCCAAGTATCCAACCTGACTCTTCCCTTCCCTGGAGTGGTAGCCTAACTGATGCACCAGTCCAAACATGGTCATGTGGCTGTCCCACACACAAACCAAGGAGTCCCTCCAATGTGGAGAAGAGAGATAATCCTGCAGTACACAAGGGCATCAGAGACATGCACATCCCAGCCACAGCAGCCATCCTTTGGTGTATGTAAGATCCAATGGGATGTAGGAAGTTCACCTTTCCTCCTAGTAGGGTGGTGTCTGAGTGCATTGTTTGCAAAATCACCTAAGACTTGGCTCCAGAGTCTTCCAGAAGCATCTCCTTCGCAGCCGCCTGGGTGTACTCCCGGTAGTTCAAGTGTTGGGCGTGAAGTCTTGTGCAGCCGCTCTGACGGTGGAAATCCTGTACCTTTCTCATTCCAGAGACAAAGACTGATCAACAGCAGGGCCTACGCCAATGGGGAATCCGAGGTGGCCATCAAAATCCCCATCAAGCACACCGTGGAGAACGGGACAGGGCCCAGCAGTGGCCCAGACCGGAGCGTGGATGGGCCTCGGAGGGACGATGTGGTTGCCGAGGCTGGCAGTGAGACAGAAAATGAAAATGAGGACAGTGAGAACAACGGCAATGACGAGGAGGATGAGGAGGACGAAGAGGACGATGAGGGACCATACACGCCCTTCGACCCCCCCTGTAAGACACCCAGGGCCTGGGCTGGGGTTGGCCTGGGGTTGGGCCCTGTTTTGAGGCCACTGAGTGGTGCACTTGACTCAGATGATCTTTTCACTCTTCAGTCCCCACAGTGTCTCTCTGGGAGCAGAGAAATGTTCAGATTCTGCTTCCACAGTGAGCAGCATGCTATCATATTAGGTCCCAAAATGACCAAGGTGGTGGTGTGCGTGAGCTTGGGTTGAAATGTGAGCTCTCTGACCAAATGCATTTCGTGGAGGTCTTCTCGTTGCTGTTGTGTGAGATCTTCGGTTGCCAAGGACAAAGTGTGCATGACCCATGTCAGAAACGCAGCTTGGACCACGGGGAAAGAGGCACTTAGCTCCCTCGCCTCCACGCATCCCATCCCAGCCAGCCAAGGAGGGCTGCCCTGCCTGCCCTGGGGAACACAGGAAGCCGCCCTCATCCTCTTGTACTTCTCACTTCCTGTCCCTTACCTCCCCCACTGCCAATCCCTGCCTCTCCCACCACCTGCTGACTCCAAGGCAGGTCCTATGAGAGCTGCATACCTGGCCAACAGCTGGGCACCTGCTGCACATGGAGGTTCCCATCACCTTGTCCCTGCCCACACCCCACCCATTATGGGACCAGGAAGACAAAGCCCGAAGAATTCTCCCTATTTGCTAGATCTTCTAGAAACTTCTGGCTGTTTCAAGAAGACGTGCCCTGATCCAATATGTGCCCACTGAGGCTTGATTTACACAGTATTTGCATGAGAACCATCAGAGGAAAGCTTACTGGGCCCACCTGAAATCCCACGTAGTGGTGGGAAGTGGGTGCAGAGGGCCCAAGTTCTGTGTCATTTTGCAGGTGCAAGTGTTTTCCTTGCTGTGTTCTGCAGTGCTCGTCTCTTGTATCCAGGGGTTAGCAAGTAACCAGAATGGCTCCTATGCCACTCAGGGCTCCTAGCCTTGCCAAGTACTTACCAAAACTCATTAGGCAATATCCATCCAGATTCCTAGAGATTCCCCAAATTCCCTAACTGCTCAGCCATCACTAATTCATTGCTTGGCAGTAGGCCATCTTGGTAGAAAAGAGCATAAGATGGTTCTCCCTCATCCGTGGTTGCAACTGTCCACTTTATTATGTACAACCAACTGTGGATTAAAAATGTTAAATGGAAAAATAGAGAACTTCCCAGTTTTTATTGGTGTGCTCTTCGGAGCAGCACAGTGAAATCTGGCACCATCCCTCACCTTCCCACCCAAGACGGGAATCATTGCTCTGTCTAGCATATCCGCACTGCGTATGCTACTCTCCCGTTAGCCTTTTCATGGTAGCCATCGGCATTGTCAGATCTCCTGCCAAATGTCACTGCGCTTACATTCAAGTAACCCTTACTTCCCTGAATAATGGCCTCAAAATGCCCAAGCAGTGACACTGGCAACTTCCTACAGTCTATTGTTAGCATTGTTCTATTATTAATTACTGTTAACCTCTCACTGTGCCTAACTGATAAGCTTATCATGGGGTGGGTGTTTGGTGCAGTGGCTAAGATGTTGCTTGGAACACCCATGTTCCATATCACAGTGCCTGGGTCCAAGGCCCCTCTCTGCTTCTGATCCAGCAGCTAGGAGACAGCAGATGATGGATGCTTGCATCCCTGCCATCCACATGGGAGTCCCAGCTTGACCTACGGGCTCCCAGCTTTGGCCTGGCCTAGCCCTAGCTGTTGTGGGCATTTGGGGGAGAGAACCAGTGGATAGAAAATCTCTTTATCTCTCCAACATTCAAATGATGAAAATCTAAATGTACAGATAAACTAAACACTTTATCATAGGTATGTATCTAGGGGAAAACTCAGGCCTCCACTGGGGATCTCGGGGTGGATCCCCGGTGTTCGGGTTCTGTATCCACTTTGCTGCCTTTCCATCCATCTATTCCTTGGCAACTTTCTTCCCTGTCAACCAGGACAAAAGCCTCTTTCCCCTCCCCACTCTTTGCTTTCTGTGGCTAACAAGCCTACAAATGCAGCAGCTTAACAGAGCACCCCCTGGTTAGCTCCACGGTTGTGTCGGTTGTGTCGGCTGGAAGTTCAGTTGGGTTCCTAGGACCTGCCGGGGCCTCGGTCGAGGTGTGAATGGGAATGTGTTCCTTTCTGGGTAGCCTGGGGAGAGTCATTTGCAGGCACAGTCAGGCTGGAGACAGAACGGCCTTGCTCACTGCCACCCAGGGCTTCTGACTGCTCCCAGGGATGCTCCGGGAAGCCCCCAGCCTGCCTCCTTCCTTCTCACCTCTCTGGCTTCCTCCCCTTCGGTGTTGAGGTCTCCTGGGACTAGATCAGGGGTTGACCTCCCCCAGCTGCAGGTGCCGAGCCAGAGGATGCAGGATCAGTAGCTCAGCCTGCTCACAGGTGCGGCATCTTTGGGGGCCCGCACCTAGAATTTGGCTGACCCCACCCTTGTTTTCAGAGCCCAGCACCAGCTGGTTGACCATAACCAAGCTCCAGAATTGCTTACATTGTTGCCAAACTCATTCAGTGGCTCAAGTGCAGGACTGGCCCCCCGAAGTCCAGGGTCCTCACCCGGGTGCACCCCTGATGCCCGGGTGAGGCGAGAAGCACGTCTGGCCTTGTCACTTAGTGAGACACAGGGCCTCCTTCCAATCACAGACTTCTCTGTGGGGAGAAATCCCAGCCCTACGGTGGGGACTCCCTCTCTGTCTCTGAGTTTCATTGTAGTCACCAGAGGCCTCAGCCTTCCATCCACGTCCTCCTGGCTCCGTGGGTGTTAGGAGACCTGGCAGCAGGTGTCAGTCACGCCGCGGGGCTCAGGAGGCTCCCACCGGGCATCTATGCTGGCCCTTCTCACCTGGGCGTCCTTGGGGAGATGCCCATGGTGATGCGGCAGGTCTGCCGTGCACCCTGCAGTCTGCATTTCCAACGAGCCCTCAGTGACACCCACGCTGCTGGTCCGTGGGCCACACTTGGAGCAGGGAGACTCACAGAGGCCTGGGGCCACCCAGCAGTCTTCGTGGTTCCTCTAAGAGGGAGGGGAGCCGAATTCAGAGCCAGCCGTCCCTCTGAAATGAGGAGTGGGCTGGCTCAGTTCTGGCTTCTCTTCCGCCCCACCAGCTGCTGACAGCCCGTGCCTGACCGCAGGGGCTCCGTGTGAAGGCAAGGGTGGATGGTGCCCAGTGCCATCTTCTGCTGCTTTCCCAGATGCATTAGCAGGGAGCTGGATCAGAAGTGGAGCAGCCGGGACACAAACCAGCGCCCATATGGGATGCCAGTGTCACAGGTGGCGGCTTCACCTGCTACGCCCCAGTGTGCATGGATATTAATGCACTTATGCTGACGTGTGTGTGTATTATATGTATAGGGTATGTACACCTATGCAGAGTGCATGTGCATACATACATACATGTAAGTATATGTGTACACTCTTAGCACATGAGTGAAAAAAGCCTCACCATTGACAGACAGAATGTGTGTGTGTGGGAGGAAATTCAAGTCCAGAGAGAAACTCCTGGCAGGAAGTAGCCCACAAGATGTTTTCCTAAGAGCAATTGTATTTGATTGATTCTGTGTCTTCCATTTGAAATGCACATCTTTATTGCTTTCATCATCAGAGCAAATGTGTGTGTCAGTGTTATCTCTGTGTGTGTTGTACATTTCTCCAGTTGAATTAGGCTTCCAGAAAGTATTACGCTCTCTGCAAAGCTCACTCAGGACTGTAATTTACAAACAAGTCCCCATGCTTCTTCCAAGGAATTTGTCACACACTTCCTTTGCTACATCTCCCAGTTGCTGGCTGACTCCCCTGAAACCATACAATCCCCAGCTCCAAAGAAAGGAATTCTGTTTCCCTACTCAACTGCTGTGTCTCCAGCACCTGGAGTGGAGGCCACCGCAAAATGCAATAGGGGACATGCAGTCAATATTTGCAGGGTGAGTGAATCAGCGCGCCCCTCGGGGGCTCTGTGTGCATGGAGGAGAAACAGAACAGAAGGTGGAGTGGTGTACAGAAATGCGGCTGACTCAAAGCGGAAAGGGAGCAGTGTTTGCTCCTTTCTTGGGAAGTGGAAACAGCCGATTCTCAGCCTCGCTGGCATCGCTCGCTTTGCTCAAGGACTTCTGTTTGTTGCACTGCACTTAGAGATTTTCAGGTCCACACTTACCGTGTTTCCAAAGCCATTCACTGAATTTCTACTTCTAAGGTTCTCAGTACAAAAGAGAGAGACGTAAAGAAGGCATCTGTGTCATTTTACCCACAGGGGAAGCTGTCTTCCAGGGAGAACACTTCCCTGAGTTGTGGGAAAAAATACCCAAAGCTGATTGGCGCTCACAGCTTCAGCTCGTCGGTAGCAGCTTCCCGGGGCGGAAGTCATGCTTCTTCGCTCTTCTATTTTTCCGCAGAAGGTCCAAGAGTCAGATCGAAGGCATTTCTCTTTCTATTCATGTGTTTTTCCTTTGTAGTCTTTCGTGGGGGTGGGGGAGATGTGTATTTTAAGAGAGCTCCCATCTCTCTGCTCCAGCCACACGAGAGCCAGCCAGGGGCTCCTAACAGCTCCATGTGGAGGTTGACTTCTCATCCCACAGCAGAACTCAGGAACACAGAATCCCAGGGTGCATTGGCCGGGAGGGAGGGGGTATGTGTCCCAAGGTCTGGCCGCATTCTGATTCTGTAGCATTGAAAACCTCTCAGAAGAAAACGTCCAGTCTTTCTGCTTTGGAGTCCAGCTTGTCTGTTCTCATCCGCTTGCCCATTGCCACAGCTTAGATCTGACAAGATCCCCAGCAGCTAATAGCAAGGAAAAGCTTCCCCTCCCTTAGCAATTTCATTTCCTTGTTTTATTCTATACTGGTGAGTTGGATACCCTTGGATTCCCAAAAACAAGTGATCTTCCTTGGTCTTTTGGTTCGGGATTATCACGAAACATTTATTGGGCATGACATACGCTCTGCCCTGTTTGTGGGTTTAACCCAGAGCAGTGAACAAGGAGATCCTGTTCTCGCAGAGTTTATGTACTGATTTGCAGACGACTAAAAATGGATGCAGATGCAAATAAAACTGATGCTTTCAGACAAGCACCGTTGGCTAGGAAGAAATAAAAGTGGGTGATGGTAAAACAGGAGTGAGGTGGCGAGGGGCTTATTTAGACTGGTGATCCAAAGGAGCAGGTGACACTGAGTGATGGGGAGGCCTGCAGGACGAAGCTCACTCAGCCGTGAGAGGGTCCAGGCAGAGGCACCCACACCTGCAAAGGCCTTGGGGCAGAAATGGGCCCAGAATGTCTAAAGGCAGAAAGCCAAGACGGGATGGGTGTGAGCAGGCAGAGCGGTAGGGGCCACACGGGACAGGGCCTTGAGGCCATGGTAGGGAGGTAAGGTTGCACTCTGAGGGCAGTGGAAAGTTCTAGAGCCGTTTGTCTTCTGAGACTCTCCCTCTGATGTGGGTGCCAAACAGAGCGAGGTGGGAGAAGCCGTGTCACAGGGGGACAGCCCAGCTCAAGGGGAGGCTGCAGGGACGGTGGAAGTGCCAAGGACGGTGGCCAGGGCTGGGCATGGGGAAGAACAGAGGAAAGGGTCAAGAGTGACTGGAAGGCTGGTGGGCCTCCGTGTCCTGTTCCCTGTCCTAATACCATCTCCTTTCCCTCTGCTGGTCACTAGGTGGCGCTAGTGTTACTGCACCCACATTTCATTCAACTCCTAGGCCATAGAGCCGGACCTGGACCCCCCAGCCCTCTGATGGGGAAGCCCCACTTGCCCCCGAGGGAGGCCAGGGCAGGAGAGGGCAACAGTGGTGTCAGGTAGCTTTTCCTGTGTAGTTTTAAGCAACTACACAGAGACTGGTAAGACAGCATATGAAACAGAATACAGAAATAAATTCTACCAACCCTTGTGTTCGGTGCTGTTCAAAAAGCTGTTCGAAGTTGGAACAAACAGGGAAAGCCAACCTATGCTAGTGCAGTAGTGCAGGTTGGGGTTCACTAGGAAGAGGCACGGGCGGTTGTCCGTGGCAATGCAGATATTTTGTGTCTCCGTGAAAGTGGGGGTGCAGGCTGCCTGCGCTGTGGCACAGAGAGTTAAGCAGCCGCCTGCCTTGCCAGCATCCCCATGTGGGTGCTGGTTTGAGATCCGGCTGCTCTGCTTCTGACCCAGCTCCCTGCTAATGTGCCTGGGAAAAGCAGCAGCAGATGAACCAGCACCTGCACCCATGTGGGAGACCTGGAAGAAGCTCCAGGCTCCTGGCTTTTGCCCGGCCTGTCCCTAGCTGTTGCAGTCATTTGGGGAGTGAACCAGCAGATGGACAATTCTCTCTTTCTCACTCTGCCTTTAAATAAATAAATACATCTTTCAATAAAGACGGGGAGCGGGGAACGTACGAGAATGCAGATTCATCTACAGGGGAAAGTAGGCAGTTAAGCAGGACAGTGATGAAGGCCAAAAGAAAGTTAAGACGTTTGTCAAATCAGCAACTATGGAAAACTCCACAACCAGCTTTTCACAACCTTGGGAGCCAGTCCTTGAGTGGGATACCGGGCTCTGCCGGGAGAAGCTGAGAACTTCCACTAGGTGGCGCTGCATCTGCTGATGCTTTCCTGTCTGGGGAAATAGGGTTCCCAAACCCTCCACTCCAGCCCACATACACCTGGGCACTCTCCACCCGCTCTGTGTGTGCCTTGTCTCTTCCCACCTGGCCCTCTAAACATTCCATCCCCCCATTCCCTAGCCTGTGTTCCTCTTGAGAGACTCAGTCTGCCCCTCCAGAGACCTCCCTAGCAGGCAGGTGTGGAGTGGAGTGGAAAGTACTGGGATGTTTGAGGACGGGGGGGGGGGGGGGGGGGGGGGCTCTTGCAAGGCTCGGTTCTGGGTAGAGCCGCGCGGGGCCAAACAGAGCACAGGAGCAAAGCTGATGGCCTGCTTGCTTGTGTTCTCCTGCCTCGCTCTTCTTTCCCAGCTGGCAAACTGGAAACAGTGAAATGGGCGTTCACCTGGCCGCTGAGTTTCATCTTGTACTTCACCGTCCCCAACTGCAACAAGCCTCGCTGGGAGAAGTGGTTCATGGTGACGTTCGCGTCCTCCACGCTGTGGATTGCAGCCTTCTCCTACATGATGGTGTGGATGGTGAGTTGGGGTGGGGTGGGGGGGCCCACGGTGCTGCCACATCTCTTGAGAAAAAAATGCACCGCCTTGAGTTGGCGATCACTACCGTGATCTGGGGAACACACCGCCCTGAGACGCGGTGATTCGAATCCCAAGCATTGATTGTCCAGTCACACGGGCTCAGGGCCACGGTGACCTGGTTCACCTTAGCTGGGACCGGCTCTGCAGCTCTGCTTCAAGTCACAGCCTGCGTAGCTTTGATGCAAGTAGTGGCTTAGGTCCGTGTCTGTTCATTGCCAGCGACAGCCTGGGCAGTGATCCTTTCCAGGTGTGCTGCTGGGGGCCCCCTAGGAGCTTGGCTGGGGGCTGGCTTCTTGTCGATTCCAGCTGCATTTGATTGGCCACGCCCAGCATCGGTAGAGCGGGAGAAAGTTGTAGTAGGCAGATCTGTGGAGTCGCAGGTCAGCAGACCCAGAGGGAAGGGGTGATGGTGGATCTGTCCCTTCCCCTATCTCGGTCTTCATTTCTTCAACCAGAAATTGAGATTCTAGGAGAGGAGCCTGCCCGTGATCTCTTCTGAGACTCAGTGATGATTCACCGATTCATATTGGCTCTGGGGCTGTGGCTCACAGGACCCGTGCCCCCAAAGCCATCTTAGGAAACCCAGCCATCCCGAATGTATGGGCCACGCAGGGGCTATGCCTCTTACCTGGGGAAGCAAACCTCCCTCATTCGAACTGGAGTGAGGCAGACACTGATTCGAATTAACGTTGCCTGAGTGTTGGGCAGAAATGCAATGTACATTCTGGAGAATTTTAAACTCAAGAGCTAAAAACAAGAACAGGTCCGAAAACGTTTTTGGAAGTGGTAGCAAATTTGCAAACCTAACATCATTAACTCATGATGATCCCTCACTTCACCCTCCTGGATTATATATATTTCTTTTTACAACCAAAATCTTAGAGCCAAGGATTATTCCCTCATGCTGTGTTCACTGAGGTTTTCTTTCTTAATGGAGCAGCGGCTGAGGGCTGCCTCGGATCCAAGCTTGGAGGAGCAGCAGTTCCAGCCCTGGGCTGCAGGTGCCCGGTGCCCCACGAACCAGCAAACGGATCCGTGAATGTGAGGTTCACCCAGCTCTCTGCCTCCCCCAGCTCCGGTGCAGATTCCAAAAGCACTGAGAAATGGCCAGGAAGAAAGAGAAGCGAGAGCCTGGGTGCTCAGTTCCCCTGTACTCAAGGCTCAACCACAAGCATCATAACAACACTGAGGTTGCAGCAGGCCAAGCCCTGCCGAGCCAAACCAGAGTCCTGCAGGGACCCAGCGGGGGGTTAGGGAGGAAAAGCAAGGGCTGGCTGAAATGCTCCCAGCTCCGTTCCACAGCGGCTGCTCAGAGCCACCAGGGAAATGTCGGAGGTTCCCGCGTCTCCCTTCCCTGCCTGGGGACCAGAAGTGAGAAAGCCTTGAGGCCAGCCCAGGTTTCTATCAGCCCTGAACGGGACCGAGGCGCATGGTCTGGCTTGGAAGAAGGACTGAACTCACATCCCGCAGGCTTTTGGACCGAGAAGGAGCCCTCGTGGCCTTGGGAGTGAAGTCAGGGGTTGGCGTGGAAGTGTCCCAGTGGCTGGCCCGGGTGGAGCTGGGAGAAGAATGTGCCCCTTCCAACATGTGGTTTGCATTGCGTGCAGCTTTATAGGAAGTGAGGGGATTGAGTGGCATCCCAATATGACCTAAGAGTCCTGGCTCGGGCAGATAATCATCTCCTTAGGCTCCGCAGGCAGGGAATCTGTCTCTCTTCCCCTCACCGGTTCGCCACTGGCCCCCTTCTCATCTCTCTCATGTTCATCTAGGTTTTCCCCCTCCAAGTAAGGGACAGGGTGGGCTCATTTGCATAACGGGAATAATGTCTCAGGTGTTAATGCTGGTGTGGTGTGAGGTAGGGGACTTGCAGCTGGCTTCCAGTAGGTAGGGAGGAGGGGGCTTTTAGAAGTCACTGGGAACGTTTCCTCTTACCTGTCTCACAAGCTGCCCTGTGTGGCTTCTTTGTTTTGCCAGCTGCTTTGCAAGGAGTCTGGGGGAGGTTGAGCTGGTTCCTACACCGAGGGTCTCATCAAAATGGGGAGAAGTGGGGGGCTAGGGGCAATATCTTGTGAGCTTTATTGCATTGCCCATTTCCAGCTATTGGTAATGCCCCTCCTGTGTCGAGAGAGGTGCAAAGGAGCCCATCTTCCTGCGGTAAAGCCCCTCCCCCCACCCCACAATTCACCAGCAGCTTCTGACTGGGACCCGTGCCTCCTGGGACCTCAGTTTGCTCATCTGAAAAATGGTGTCACTAGCACAGCCCTTGTCCCCTAGGGAGAGCTAAGTTACCACCTGCAAATGTCACCTAGCCCCGTGCTAAGTACTAAATAGACATAAGTTCTTATGGGGAAGATGATGCAGGAAGTGAGGCAAGGAAAGATTGGTTATGGCTCTTCCATAGCAGGCGCAACACCACCCCCTCCCTCGCACACCCACTCCTAACGCGGCAGCTCCACTTCCCAGCGTGGCGCAGGCAGCCAGCAGTTCTGGGTTTCCCAGGACTGTCAGGAGTTCACATGCACTCTCCCGATGTTGCCTGTTCCCAGAAACCCCAGGACCCAGCACTCTGCCCAGCTGGGGAGGGAGGAGTGGGAGGGCTGATCCGTTCACCAGCGCAGGCTGTGTAAGTGCCCCACACCACTGTGACCTGTAGGACCTCCGGAGAGGTGGCCACCCTGGAAGCCCATGTGGGGCTCACAGCAGCACCCGCGGGGCTCACCAGCTCTTTCATGTGTTCCAGGTCACGATCATCGGCTACACCCTGGGCATACCGGACGTGATCATGGGAATTACCTTCCTGGCCGCCGGAACCAGTGTGCCCGACTGCATGGCCAGCCTCATCGTGGCCAGACAAGGTGGGACTCCCGTGAGCTGGATGGGGGGAAGTAAGGCCCCCTGCCTGGAGCATTCATGTGGCGGTGGCTGGAACACATGGAAGGGTCAGTGGGTGACCTTAGTGCCGTATTGGTCAAAAGGCTTCCTGGGATTAGAACAGGGAAGGGAGCCAGATGGTCCCAGCCTTAAGGAAGGCTAAGACATTTACGTGGAAAGCACCCACAGCCCCTTCTGCAGCTCACACTTCCAGTCTTCTGTGGGTTAAAAGTAGGGGTGGGTTCCGTGGTAACCAACCTTCAGCGGAATCAACCCAGCCCCCTCTCTCATTTATCTGCCTGATGGATGCCGGGGGGGGGGGGGGGGGGGGCATGTGCTTCTTCCGAAATGCATCGTGTCACTGCAGAACACAGCGCAGTGTCCCGTCGGCGTCCTCATGGAAGTATATACTCATGATGTCATTTCCTGATGTCACTTAGTGACTCTGAAGAGGAATGAAGGCAGAAGAACCCAGCTGGGGGATGAGCTGAGTGGGTTGGGGGGTTCAGGTGCCTCTCCGTGGACTGTGGAGCTGAGTCTTTTCTGTGTGGATGTCTCAAAACCTGGAGACCTTTTGGAACCATATTTGCATGACTGACATTGAAATAGTGATCATATTTGAGGTCAAGATCAACCGATCGACAGGAGATGAATTTCTGTGATTCATAATCAGTGTCGTTGTCTAATGGTGTTGGGCAGGGAGAAACGGAAGTAGGCAAGCCAGCAGAACTGCTCTGGCTGTTGGGTCATTAGCTGGGGAGACTCCCACAAGGGCACCTGCTGTCCCCTGGATCACCTCCCTCACCGGAGCATCCTCTCGTCCTCGCAGGCATGGGCGACATGGCCGTGTCCAACTCCATCGGCAGTAACGTGTTTGACATCCTGATCGGCCTGGGGCTCCCCTGGGCTCTGCAGACCCTGGCTGTGGATTATGGATCCTACGTAAGTGCTTTTCTCCAGAACTTCTCTTTAAATCCACTCTTGTCAATGGCCTTGGCCGTAAGCCTTCGTTTCGGGGCAAGGAAAAGTTTGGAAATAGCAACGTTGAGGGAGAAACAAATTCTCCTGGTCCGTGTCCTGGCCTCTGCGGCAGAGCTGAGTGTGTATTTCCTGTCAGGGACCAGGCAGTAAATATTTTAGGCTTTATGAGCCAGAGTGAGGGCTACAGATCTCCGAGGAAGCGGCCATGTCTACACCACTCTATTTGTAGAACCGAAATTTCGGTTTTGTGTGACTTCCACACTGGGATAGATTGTGCTTCTTTTTTTTTTTTTGTTTTGTTTCAGCCATTTAAAAATACAAAAACTCATGAGCTCTACAGAAACAACTGGTGGGCTAGACTTGTCCCGTGGGTCATCATTTTCCAAATCTTGCTATAGTGTTGTTGTCTTTTCCTAGCTGATTACATGGTAGGTGATACGTGGGAGACAGTGAAGAGGGGTCATCCAGCTTGGCCCACTGGAAAAGGGACATCCATTGGCTGGACATAGGATTCCAAACAGGAATCTACAGGCCAATAGTGAGACTATCGGCAGTCATGTTTATATAAGTTGACTCTCATCTAACAAATCCACAGGAGTTTGATGTATAGGTTACAAGGGCGGCAATGGTACTGAAATACATAAGTGCCAGGCAGAAAGCGAACTTATTTTGGGTGATTTGTTCTCTGAATTACTGGAGAAAAATCTTAGGTGGTCTGGGTTCTCAAGTCCTTGTCCAGATAAGCCCCATGGCCCCACCTCCAGGCAGGAAGGATGTTGGTCATCCGTTCAGCCATGTTCCCAGGAAGGAGAGGAGTAGCAGGTGGCACTGAACGCTAACAGCCGCCGTGGGCTGATTGTCCGCTTGAAGGTGGAATCCCAGCAACAGGGGTTTGCTGGTGCTGCTCAGCTGCCGTGGTCCAAGCTTCTGCCCATGCTGGAGATTTTGTCCATTGGCCACGTCCACCAGAGGACTGCCCTCCCCCACTCACACCCCATGCAATCAAGCTGGGCACCTTGGCCAATCCTGGCTGGTTGAGCTGTTGTAACTCTGCCTCTCAAGCAAATAAATGAATGAATCTTAAAAAAAAAAAAAAAAAGAATTCCTTCCATGCCCTTAGATCCATTGCATTAATTTTTCACTTTACCGGGATTACAAGGTACAATCCTGGAAGGTGAAGCCAGAAGCACTGAAATACAAAGCTAGAACTCTCCCCAGGAGTAAAGTGGTTCCTCTGACCAGCTTGGACATTGGCTTGAAAGTTGAACCCGATTAGGCAGGCTGTCAGTCATAAATCAGCCCCCTGGTAATCTGCTTCTGACATTGTCTCAGTGGCTGTCCTTCTGTGATTCCCACAGCCATGAACACGTCGTCGGGGCAGGTCCCAGTGTCTCCTGTCAGGGTGACATCATGAGACAGAACTTCAGGCTCTAATGAATGTCTGGCCAGCTTTGTGTGTTCCATGTGAAGATGACATAATTGGACCACTCTGGTTATTCTGCTGGAATTATACAAAAACCACATCTGGTCCTGTAATTGGAGACTGAAGATCTTTATCCTTGAAGTAGAGGGAGATACAGACAAAGAAATACCATGCTGGGTTCTGGTCCACGGCCATGACACATGCAGGGAGTCCTCTTCCGGGCTCAGGGAAAGGTGTGTGTGATGTTGCATTTGCATCCAGTGCTGCTGTCTCAATACCAGTGCCAAAAGGATCTGCATTTTATGTCAGACATACAAACAACCAGTACAGACCTGTCTGTTGAAAGCAGAAATCCAGTCCTATAATCGGTCAGCGGTTCATGAACCCAAGGATATCAAGATGTCATGTGTGTAGGGTGTGAGGTGGGGATTCAGATTTACTCTTTTGCATATGGATATCTAGTTGTTTGAGCAGCACTGTTGAAAAGAAAATTTCATTTTGAACTTTAAAAATTTAAATGAGTGGGTATTTGGCCTGGCACTTAAAGCAGTAGATGGTGGCCCCAACCAGGTGGGAAACCTAGATTGAGCTCCTGGCTCCTGACTTCAGCCTGTCCCAGCCTCAGCTGTTATAGGCATTTGGGAAGTGAACCAGCAGATGGGATCTATATCTATATCTATATCTATATCTAATCTATGGGATATATATATCACTCTCTTAAGAAATAAATAATAGGCCGGCGCCACAGCTCACTAGGCTAATCCTCCGCCTGTGGCGCTGGCACCCCAGGTTCTAGTCCCAGTTGTTCCTCTTCCAGTCCAGCTCTCTGCTGTGGCCCAGGAAGGCAGTGGAGGATGGCCCAAGTGCTTGGGTCCTGCACCCACATGGGAGACCAGGAGGAAGCAGCTGGCTCCTGGCTTCGGATCGGCACGGTGCACCAGCCGCAGCATGCTGGCCGTGGCGGTCATGTGGGGGATAAACCAAAGGAAGGAAGACCTTTCTCTCTGTCTCTCTCTCACTGTCTAACTCTGCCTGTCAAAAAAATTTTAAAAAAAAGAAATAAAAAGTAAGGAAAAATTCTGATTAAGTATTTCCCAGTAATATCCTCAGTGTAGGAACTGTTAGGAAGCCATAGTTGTACGTTGGGTAAATCTGTGTATTCTAGAACCTTGTATTCCATAAGCCTTCCCTGTTTGGAAAACTTTCCATACTGATTCGGGGCTAGACTGTGAGTGGGCAAGCCTGCCAGGTGAGCTGAATCCGGAGCAGCAGCGTCACAGGGTCAGCCTTGGATCTTAGTGGCTGTGCTGTCTTACCCAGGTTTTACTCGAGAAGTTTGCTGTCTGTGCTGGAGAAAGCGTTCAGTGAGGGAAGCATCCCCATGACCAGAACACTGCTACTCCTACCCACGTGACAACCCAAATACAGCCTCTCACTGCGCACAATTTTAACCATGAATTTGCTTTCCCACCTTGTTACACAGTTACTTCCCCTGTATCCTCTCTCTGCTACCAGGGTCTGAGTTTCAGGCTTTGTCTGCTTAGTAGCTGCCATCCACACCACTCCAGTTGTCATAAAATACATTTTGTTTCCTCATTCGTAGTGGCAAGCAGCCCTGTTGTTACACCACTAGCTCCTGAGAGCTTTGCTGTGGTTCAGCCAGATTAAATAATTTGTGTTCAGGGGCCGATGCTGTGGTGTAGTGGGTAAAGCCACCACCTGCAGTGCCGGCATCTCATGTGGGCACCAGTTCAAGTCCCAGCTGCTCCAATTCCCATGCAGCTCCCTGCAATTGTGCCTGGGAAAGCAGCAGCAGATGGACCAAGTGCTTGGGCCCCTGTTCCCACGTGGGAGGCCCAAAAGAAGCTCCTGGCTCTTGGCTTGGGATTGGCCCAGCTCTGGCTGTTGCTTCCATTTGGCATAGAAGATATTATCTCTCTCTCTCTCTTTCTCTCTCTCTCTCTCTCTGTAACTTTGCCTTTCAAATAAATAAGTAAATCTTAAAATAATAATAATAATTTATGTTCATGGTGGTGATCCTGAGTCGTTAAGTTTAGAGACTGGTGTTGACACACAGCGAGCTAAGCCACCTTCTGTGACATCAGCCTCCCATATGGGTGGGTGCTGGTTCCAGTCCCAGCTGCTCCACTTCCTATCCAGCTCCCTGCTAATGTGCCTGGGAAGGCAGTGGAAAGTGCTTGGGCCCCTGCACCCATGTGGGAGACCTGGATGGGGTTCAGGGCTCCTGCTTTCTACCTGGCCCATCCCCACCCAACCAGTGAACCAGCAGATGGAAGATTCTCTCTCTCTCTCTCCCTCTCTCCCTCTCTCTCCCTCTCTCTCCCTCTCTCTCCCTCTCTCTCCCTCTCTCTCCCTCTCTCTCCCTCTCTCTCCCTCTCTCCCTCTCTCCCTCTTTCCCTCTCTCTCTCCCTCATCCTCTCCTTCTCCCCCTCCCCCACCTCTCCCTCTCCTCTAAATAAATAATCTTAAAATAAAATGTTTAAGTTGTATATCTGATTCTCTAGGAAGAGCATCAGATTTGTAAAATACTTGAGAATGAAACATTTTGTTCAGAAAGGTTAAGGACTCAGCCTGCAGAGAAGCAAAGTTGAATTTTCTGGAAAACTACTTGCCTAGACTCTCTGATTAGTAACGTTTGACCTAAAGAGTGGTGCAGTCATGGTGCAATTTCAGACTGCATTCATCCCTGATTTTGTTTTAAGATTTATTTTATTTATCTGAGAGGCAGAGAGACAGGGAGAGAGAAAGAGGTCTTCTATCCACTGGTTCACTGCCCAAATGGCCACAACAGCCAAAGGTGGGCCATGCCAAAAGCTGGGAACCCAGAACTCCGTCTGGTCTCCCATATGGGTGGCAGGGGCAAATGCTAGGGTCATTTTTTTATTGTTTTCCCAGGCACAGTAGCAGGGAGCTAGATTGGAAGCAGAACAACCAGGACTCAAACCAGAGTTGCTATCTGGGATGCCAGCATTGCAGGTGGCAGCTTAACCCGCTGCGCCCCAACGCCAGCCTCCTATCCCTGATTTTAATCTTTGCTAGGACAGGGTCTACTTACTAGGGCTCAGGTGGGCTCTTCATACTTATTTAAAATGAGAGATGGAACTGGGAAGGGTAGAGCTCCTGATCCCCGGATTCTAAAAGTGGGGCTGCCGTCCTTGCTGGCCCAGCCTGTGGTCAGTGGTATTTCTGCAGTGGGTTTCTGCCTGAAGTCAGAGGAACCCTTGGGACCCCTTGTATGAGGATTGTCCCTTCTGTCAGTCCCGGGTCACTCCCTGGCTTTCATCAGGTGCCCTCACATGGCCGGTTCCCTGCGGGCCACCAGCCATCCTGGGGGACAGCACTGCGACCCTCAATGCTGAGATGCAGGAGCTGTTTGGTGTATGGCAAAGCATCTGTTGTGCCCTGCCTTTGCAGGACAGCACCTCCTGTTCTGAAAGGACCCTCAGGACCCTGCCTCTGTTTGGCTCAGCAGCAGTCGCATGGTATCCCCCTGGGTCCCTGGCTTGAGAACTGTGCA